ATCGCGAGCCCACAGGGACGGAAGGAGTTTCGTAGTAGATACGATTTGACTTTTCACATTTGTTTGATTCGTCCAGGTGGTGAGCTGTGATTGATGCTTTACCAATGTAGAAATTAATAAACACAACCCAGAGACAGAGAGTGTAAAGAGGACGTGTCGTGGATGGAGTATGGTGCCGTGGGTGTGATTGTGGGTAAAGGCCAGTTCCAACCTTGGTTCTCGCCGCCGTGTTTACTTCGTTGCGGGCTTTTTTGGGATTAGGGTAGCCGCCAAGGGTTGCGCTTTCCTCCCGAAGCCGCAGGACTTTCTTCCTCGTAGCAGAGCTCCCCATATTCCACTCCATCACCATCTCCCCTCCTTCTTTCCTGCATCAATCTCAATTGGTTGCAGTGCCCCAGAAATCGTCTCTTGAGCACCGCAGCAATGTTCTCGAGAGCCATCCGCCAGTCGAGCCGCCGGGTCGCTGCAATCTCTGCCACGGGTAGAATTGCATCGGTAAGTCCATCGCAATCGCCTACACCTGCGCCCGCCGCCCGCCTAGCCATCATTGCCCGCCTAGAGAAGCGCGCTCTGATGCCATTGGCACCGCAATTGACCGTTATCGATGGTTGACGGATCTGGGCGGCGGCGGCAGCGCTGGGTAGATGGGGGAGGGGGGAGCTCCCCTCTGCCGAGCCTGAGACCGACCAAGTACTGACGACTTTTTCAACCACACCAGACCCGCGCCCCGGCCTTTACCAGCGCAATCCGTTCCTATGCCTCCGAGGCGAAAGCCAGCCCGACCGAGGTCTCCTCCATCCTGGAGCAGAGGATCCGCGGTGTGCAGGAGGAGAGCAGCCTCGCCGAGACAGGACGTGTGCTTTCCGTCGGGTACGCCAGCGCGCCATTGCGTGCATTGCTTTTCCAGAGGAGCAGGGAGCTGACGAGGCAATAGTGACGGTATCGCCCGTGTCCACGGCATGAACAACGTCCAGGCTGAGGAGCTCGTCGAGTATGCCAAGACCCACACCCTCCAGCCAGCCACCACGGACACTAACGGATACCCAGGTTCGCTTCCGGTGTCAAGGGCATGTGCATGAACTTGGAAGCCGGCCAGGTCGGTGTCGTGCTCTTCGGTTCCGATCGATTGGTCAAGGAAGGCGAGACCGTTAAGCGTACCGGAGCTATTGTACGTCAATCGCCGGTCAAAGGCCCAGTACAGGAATCTAACAGCTCCAGGTCGATGTCCCCGTCGGCGAGGCTTTGCTCGGACGAGTCGTTGACGGGCTCGGTAACCCCATTGACGGAAAGGGTCCCCTCAAGACCACGGAGAGGCGCCGTGCTCAACTCAAGGCTCCCGGTATCTTGCCCCGTCAGTCCGTCCGCGAGCCCGTCCAGACTGGTCTCAAGTCGGTCGACGCCATGGTGCCCATTGGACGTGGACAGCGTGAGTTGATCATTGGTGATCGTCAGACCGGAAAGACCGCCGTTGCCCTCGACGCCATGCTCAACCAGAACCGATGGAACAAGGGAACCGACGAGAAGAAGAAGCTCTACTGCATTTACGTTGCAATCGGTCAGAAGCGGTCCACTGTGGCCCAGCTTGTCAAGACCCTCGAAGAAAATGACGCTATGCGATACTCCATCGTGGTGGCCGCCACCGCCTCAGAGGCCGGTATGTCAAAACACGAAACTTTATAATGCACTCTGTACCCTCCAATACTAACTATAACGCCATAGCTCCCCTTCAGTACCTCGCGCCGTTCGTCGGCACATCTATGGGTAAGTGAAATTGCATTATGATTGTGTTGTGCTTTTTTCTTGCTTGTTTTCTGGTTATGTGTTGCAATCTCATGTGACGGGCCTTGCAACCTCTACGGTAGCATACTCGTTCCATTTCTTGCATATGTCAATATGTAACGCATCTACTACGGCACAGTTGAAGACTCTTTTGACGACACAATCAATGTCACATAGCGACACATAGAACGACAGATTTACTAACGAGCATTCAGGTGAATGGTTCCGCGACAATGGCAAGCATGCGCTGGTAATCTACGACGATCTCACCAAACAGGCCGTCGCCTACCGCCAGATGTCTTTGTTGCTGCGTCGCCCCCCCGGTCGTGAGGCTTACCCCGGTGATGTCTTCTATCTTCACTCTCGCCTGCTGGAGCGCTCGGCCAAGATGAATGACAAGCTCGGTGGAGGTTCTTTGACTGCACTCCCCATCATTGAGACCCAAGGTGGTGATGTGTCTGCGTATATCCCTACCAACGTCATCTCTATCACCGATGGACAAATTTTCCTCGAGGCCGAGCTCTTCTACAAGGGTATCCGCCCTGCCATCAACGTCGGTCTTTCGGTTTCTCGTGTCGGCTCCGCTGCCCAGGTCAAGGCCATGAAGCAGGTCGCTGGTTCCCTCAAGCTCTTCTTGGCTCAATACCGTGAGGTCGCTGCTTTTGCCCAGTTCGGTTCTGACTTGGATGCTGCTACCAAGCAGACCCTCAGCCGTGGTGAGCGTCTTACCGAGCTTCTCAAGCAGAAGCAATACACTCCGATGGCTGTCAACGAGATGGTCCCCTTGATCTACGCCGGTGTCAACGGTATCCTTGACAAGGTTCCCGTAAACAAGGTTCTGCAATGGGAGGCTGATTTCCTGGCTCACCTGAAGTCCAACGAGCAGGAATTGCTCAACACCATTGATCGGGAAGGCGCTCTCAGCAAGGATATCGAGTCGAAGTTGAAGGAGGTTGCCACATCTTTCACCAAGTCATTTGTCTAGAGGCGTGGAGAATGAATGGTGGACCGGAGATCTTTGGGAACAGATGTATAATAGTATGATGAGTTCTCGATCATGAGCTGTCATCAGCTGTTTCAATATCGAAGACAAGTTCAGTTTGTACACTTGACGCTTGCCTGGATGAATGACTGTTGATTGTGACATTTCCGACATGCAGCCTGCTTGATGCATTTGTCCTTTGTCAGTCTTGAAAGTATTGGTACATGTTGTGATAGTAGTAGTAGTAGTAGTAGTAGTAGTAGTAGTAGTAGTAGTAGTAGTAGTGTAGTCATTGTATTCATTTGTCCTTTGTCAGTCTTGAAAGTATTGGTACATGTTGTGATAGTAGTAGTAGTAGTAGTAGTAGTAGTAGTGTAGTCATTGTATTCATCTGTCACATTGTCAGACTTGAGCCAGAGAGAATGGTTCGAGAAGGGCAAGTGTGTTTTGGTAGTTCGTCCAGGGGGAAGTGTGTACATTGATTGCAGTGAGGCGGAGTGGGTCAATTTATTTTTAAAAAACAAGTCTGAAAATCGCACTTGTATTCTTTCATGTTGCATTCATGTTGCTCTACGCCACCATTTATATTTCTTCCCTGTGGCCCATCCATCTATGCACGTGAACCCAATCATTTGTCTTCCCTCGCGTCTTCATCCGTCTCCTCCCCATCACCGTCCCCAAACGGATCGTCGCCAATCTCCACCGCATCGCTCGTTTCCGGCGGCTCATCGCTATAGACATCATTGTTCCAGCCACTCCGTAGACTAATGTCGTCGTCGTCTTCGCGCAGCCTGGCCGCAGCCTCGAGCGCACTCGGATCATCAACGTATTCATTTTCCAAGTCCTCGATGCTCGTCCGCCGTATGCCCGCGCGCTCCTCGGCTTCCAATTGCGCCGCTCTCTGCTTCGTCTTGCGGTACATGAACCAGCCCGTCACGACGCCCGCAATGATGCCAATGGCAATGGAAATGTAGGACAGGGCTTTGGTGCCCGGATCCATCTTCCCGCCGCTATCCGCCAGCTTCTCAAACTGGGAACCAATGTAAACGTGCAGCATGAGTTTGGGGCTGACAATGGCGTTTGCGAGGGCGAATGAGGCCCAGTGGACGGTGGGGAATGTGGCGACTGCGCCGTTTGTGAGAGAGTAGGGCAGCGGACACATGCGGATCATGATGAGGAGTTTGAGGCCGTCGTGTTTCATGGTCAGGGCGAGGGCGGTGAACCGCGTGTCTTTTGCTATGAGGCGCTGGACGAGGGATTTGAGGAGCGACCGGGAGATGAGGAAGGATACTGTGCTGCCGGCGACTGTGGCGGTGGCGGCTATGAACCATCTTGGAGGATTTGTTAGTTTTCGAGGGGAGTAGATTGGAGAATACAGTGTCGAGCAGAGAGAGACATACCCGTTTGGAAAGCCATAGACGAAGCCGGATATTGCCAACAAAGTTCCGTATCCTATCAAGGGTGGAAACGAGACCAAGAATATGGCCGCCCACAGTATACACCATCCGCCTGGTACCTCTCTCCATTTCTTCGCTGCGGGCAGCAGTTTGGCAAAGATCTTCTCATTGTAGACTAGGAAGAGTATGGCCAGGGTTGCCATGAGCAGGTTCCCGAGGATGAAGAGGATCTTTTGGATGAAGCTGAGTTTGGCATATTGTGAAGAGATGCGGCGGGTGAGGGAAGAATATTGCGAGAAGACGCGCTGCTTCCATGTTGGGGTTGTGGTTGCGCGACGGAAGGACTGGGGACTCCGACGACTCCAGATGGGGGACTGGCCGGTCTCTTCGTCTTCGAGGGGCAGCGCGAGGGCGCGGACATCGTACTCGGCGGAAGCCGGCATTCTGAACAGAAGTGGGTGGTGTATTTCACCCTTCACCCTTGGGAGGGAGTGGAGGGAGGGCTGTGATGCGATCACAATGTGGTTGTATGGATGTAGGTAGGTAGGTAGGTAGGTATGTATGTATGTATGTATGTACCTACTGTATGTATGCAGTCGCTGACTGTCCCAATGCGGAACGGCGCGGGAGTAAGAGACGGCAGGGGATGAGATGTGGGAAGGATGGGCAGGATGGAGAGAAGAGATTAGTTGGTATGGCTGGGAGGGGCCATTTCGTCAAGAAACGTATGCTTGACGGGAGGTAAGACGGGGTGAGCCTGGGCTGGGGTACCGGTATGGGTAGGTGAGTTGGGCATGTACTCTGGCGTGGATGGCTGCGGTAGACGTTTGGTGTGTTGTGGCGGTTGAGATGATGACGGCGGTCGAACTACTCTAGCGCTGGTGCTTTGGGGGCGGGAGGCTGCCTTCCTTTTGGTGTGCTGGTTTCATCATGGTAGATGATCATGGGCTGCTTGCACGTGACTCGGCCTCAGGTTCGCGCTGTCCCTCGCACCTTCTGCCTGTTTGGGGTTTGGGGGGAGACTGGAGACTACGTAACTCTATACAAAGTGCTGCTGCTACAGCGTGGTACCGGTAACATCGAACCTTGGAATGGTCTGCCTAGCCACTTCAGCTGCTTGCTCTTAGCAATAGCGTGCTTCCTTGGGTCGACACAGCTGTCTGCACCCCAGTGAAAGAGTGCCAACCAAGTGAAGAAGAGAGAGCCCAGCCAAGAGAGTTCCAGGTGAGAGAGTAGTTGGTGCCAGGCGGTGCATAGGGACAGTCCAGTCCCACATACGTCCCAACGTAGTAAGCGTAGTAGCAGTAGTAGTAGTAGTAGTAGTAGTAGTAGTTAGTAGTAGCAGCAGCAGCAGTAACTTAGTAGTAGTGTAGTCCCTGGCCCGGAGCTTCACTCGACCTTGCCCTCGCCCTCACCATCGCCATCACCATCGGCCCAGGCATTGGCTCACAGCCTGACACTGCCTTTGGCCCCTGTTGGCGCATTTGCAGAGTCTCGCAGACGTCTGCGGGACGACAAACTCGCCCTCGACTGCTGCTGCTGCTTGCTTCACCACGACGCGCCGGCCGCTTACTCTTCCCATCTTATTGTCTACCTACCTACTTGTTCACCAGGCCAGCCTCCTTTGCCCGCCGCGCCTTCGCTCCTGTGCAACTGCTGCACCTGCTTGCCTGTCCCGTTTTAAGACTCCATAATCCTTTTTCCCCGCTCCCGCCCCCAATCACCGCCCGTAAACCCACACGCGCCCCGTATTCTTCCGCGGCCCTACTAGAGTCGCTATCACCATGGTCGCCGACAACATCTACGAACACGCGCTGCCCGTGCTGCAGGACGAGGCGCTGGATGACGAGGACAAGACCGACAGGCTCGAGGAGCTGCTGCGCAAGGAGACCGGTCTCACGGGCAAGTCTCTGGAGAACGTGGTGCTCGACTGTCTTTGGCGCTATCGAGACGCTGGCAGCTCCTCCAGCTCACCTCCCCCCAGCCGCCATACCATCATCCGCCGCCCATCGCCCGCCCCATGGCAGGCCAACCACTCCCCGCGCACCACAAACCCTCCCCCCGGCTTTGGCATTGCGCCGCCTGCCTTCAACCGCGCAAAGTCGTCGACCGCATCCCCCTTTACCTCGCCTCGACCGTCGCCGCGCCTCGCCTTCTCGAGCCCGCACATCCCTCATAGTCCGAGTCTGAGCGCCTACCAGTTCAGTGAAGGCGTGAGTCCCAGTGCGGAGACGTATGGCGACTTGGACGGCCACTCGGTCGACTGGCTGGTCAATGACGATTCCGGGAGCACCGAATCATCCCTCATGGGCGAGGGCACGCTCAATGGCGCCGCCGCAGAATGGGTGCAACCGCAAACCATGGACATGGGCCCATATGACATGCTTCGATCGATTCTACGCGACGATCGGTCCGACGAGGAGATTGAAAAGGTGCTCGAGGCCAATGGTTTCGACCTCAGTGCGGCGCTGCTTGCGCTCATGGGCCAGACGGCAGACGTGCAGCAGATGCCCACACCTTCCCAGGAGCAGGCCGGCTTCGTCATCGGGAAGTCGATGAGTCCTGCATTCAGACCCGCAACACCTGCTGGCCAGCAGAAGAGTAACATTGTATGCAAATACTTCTTGTCCACGGGACACTGTGCAAGGGCGGATTGTAGATTTAGCCATGATACCAGCAAGACCCTGTGCAAGTGAGTGTACCCGCGTGCAACCAAGATGCATGCATACTGACAAAATGCTTAGGTACTTCCTCAATGGCAACTGCTTAGCTGGCGAGACGTGCTTATTCTCCCATGACCCATCAGCGCTAATGGCTCGTATGGCCGTCTCGGATGCTGCTACTCCCCCACCACCTGCCTCTCTTCCAAACTTCCAAATGTCTGATTATGAGTTTCCAAACCTCCAATACAACGGTTCTTCACTGGGAACACCCCAGATCTCCACATCAGAAGCGACTTCCCTAGAGCAGCTATATGGCCTCACAGGAGGACCTACACGACCTCCACCGGGCCTGAGTCCGTTTGCCAACTTCGTCCCAGGAGCGGGCAGTCGTCCACAATCAAGGACAGGCAGTCGACAACAGTCCCGTGCGCCTACTCCCTCCATACTGGCCGTAGATGATAACGAGGCATTCCCAAGCTTGGGTTCCGCAGCTGCAGCAAAGACGGGAAAGCGGCATCACGGTAAGCGGGGTGGTCATAATAGCCACAGAGACATTTCCGGGCCCAACAATCTTGCAGATGTTGTACGCATGTCACCATCCCCCGCACCTGCCACCCCCGTTCGCAAGACGCTAAGGCCAGCGAAGAGCTTCAATGGCACTCGAGAGAACAGTGCAGCCGCGCAGGCGATACCAGCTCCCCAACATATACCCTGGCTGGAAACAGGCGAGAAAGGCAATCAAGCGTATCTCAAGGCTCGCGCTGAAGCGTTCAAGCACGGCAGCTTACGTAACAAGTTTCTGCAGAGGTAGGAATCATCATCTGCTGCATGGCTCAATCATCCCTAACAGTGTGTAGTGCCGCTCAGGCTTGGAATCGAAGTGATTCACGTGCTGCCAAAGCTCTCAGTCTTCGCGGACAGAGCGAGAACAACTTGATGCGCGAAGCCCACCGCGAAGCTGCTCGCATTCTGTACGAAGAGCGCAACAAAGACGCGGACGGCTTCAAAGAGCTGTACGTCGATCTCCACGGTGAGTAGCGCTCCGTTGCGGAACAATGGGAACCCTCACTCATCCCTACTAGGCCTCCACCCAGACGAGTCCGTCTCATACCTCGAGGGCATTCTCCTGAAGCACAGTTCCTCATCCCGGCCTGTCTACGCCATCACCGGCACCGGCCATCACTCCAAGAATGGCAAGGACAAAGTCGGCAAGGCAATTCGTGGCTTTCTCAATGAGTGGCGCTATGCCTTTCGCGAGTTCTCAGTCCCAGGCGACCGCAATAATGTCGGTGGTATCCTAGGCATAGACCCCAGTAGCTACGACAGAAGTGTTGTTGCGGATAGATCCAAGGATGCTGAAGCCGAGTCGAGCAGCGAAAAGAGCGATTTGAAAATCAGGATCATGAAGAGGGATGAGATGTTAGATGCACCGAAAGGACCGAAGCAGTAGAGTCACCTTTGGAGGCAACTTCGTAGGTAGCATGAAATAAGAAAGAGGTTTACTTCGCATTGCTGGCAAGGTTGACTCGAACAGTGCTGTTTGTGTATGTCGTTTCTCATGACGCCCTTGGCAACCGTATCAGTAGTGCGGCCGTGGAAGTCACACCCAGTGTCGTGCCTACCTCCATCAACAAGAACACGTCGCATCGAGCATCCCACTTTGTCATTTCCCAAACTCCATCGCCTTTCTTGTACCAGCATTCCCTGGTTGGATTCAAGAAGCATCGCGATTCACCTTTCGCTTGTGTCCGCTCTTTTCGCCCCGTCATTCGTCGTCGGCTCACTCCACCGTTCATCAGCCCTTGCACGACGCTGCTGCTTCCAATGCTCCCTCGCCCCTTGTCTCACCCCGTAAGTCTTCCATCAACATGACGCCGCGAAGACCTTCCTCTGCCCAGAATGATACTGGACCCCAACGTCTACCCTTCGCCACCGCCGAGGCATTGCTATGGGGCCCGGAAATAAAGAAGCAACACGCATGGCTTCTGCAGCAAATGCGAGGTCTGACCGCTCAGCATGAAGCCTACGATGCTCGCCTCCAGACGACTGAAGCTATCGCCGAAGCTGTTGAAGCTGCAACTGCTCGCGTTCGGCATGTAGAACAACAGATGATCGCCATGGAAGCTGTGGACGAGGAGAATAGATTTGAGAACTGGGCTATGGCCGAGATTACTCAGCTGAAAGCTTTTCGAGACGAAAACAAGAATGTTCGGCAGAAGCAGATTGAGCTTGACAAACAGGTTGAGGGCCTGGCAGACGACGTGGTCAACGTGAAGCTGCTGCCTGATGAGCTTGTAAAATTGACCAGACGTGTCGATTTTCTCGACTCTCGACAAAAGGAGGATGCCTGTCGTATCAAACTACTGGAGAAGGAGCTTCATGGGCTGAACTGTGGACAACAAATACCGGCTCCATTGCAACCCACAGTGCAGCCTATAGTGCAGCATCTCCCCGCTCAACGGCAGTCGAGCTATCATCAAGTCACAACCCCCACTCACAGGCTTCCAGTTCCAGGGGTAGATGACAACTCAGAGACTGAAGATGAGTGTGTAAATATTCCTCAGAGAATAAATGCACAAATAGGCTGTGCTGAGGTTCAGGTCCCAGCAAGTCCAGGAACTGAGACGTCAGTGCAGAGAGGCTCACCTTCGACCCGCAATTGCTGACTGAATCAGCGCTTTAGATGCATTGCTACGGCCACCAACCCCTCAGCTCCCGTTCATCAGATCTGCAAGACAAAGGTTATTCAAGAGGCCGTCCATATACAATTCAAAGCTTTCAAGACTGCTAGATGATGGACAAGAACGGCAGGGTGGTGGTATCCAACCAGGTTCGCCAGTTCGGATAGCACCCATCGCTCCTGCCACGCTGTTAGTCACCGCAAGCAGCACATCAGAACACACACAGGCTATCGAAAATACAAATATTCAACGAACACCTCCATCAAATTCGTGGACTCCTGAAAAGGTCAGAGATGAGCGGGCTTTGCCAAGTCGCGAAGTGAAGGCATCTGAACAGCCAATGCAAACGATCACTAGACGCCCAGCGAATCCAAGAAAGCGGGTCATGGGTACTGGGGTGTCATCAACCATCACCCAAGGCACATCAAAGCAGTCTGTCCAGCTCTTTGCTACGAGTCCGCGGAAGAAACCCAGATTCGTTGCACCTGCAAGGCCACCATCTCACGTGGACACAGCCAGCTCGAGCCAACGGGAGCAGCTCATCGTCGTTCTGAAGACCCAAAGTACGCGAACCAATAAGAGCAACGTTGATTTCATGAAGCATAGCGCAGCAGAAAGTGTGAATACACCGCCTAGGAAAGCAGTGGTCAAGGCACGCTCGTGCACTTCATGTAGACAACGGCACATGGCATGCGACAAAGCGCAACCGACATGCGGGCCATGCGTGAAGCGCTCACAAGGTCATTCGTGCGTATATCAGCCATTTCAAGAGGCACAGATACGACCAGTCAAGTCCACATCAGTGAGCCCGAGGAAGAAAGTGGCACGAGACGATGGGCTTGCTGGTCCGGATGCGCTGGACAAGGCAGCCAGTATCACACAAAACATTTCGGATAAAACAATCCATACTCAAAAGAAACAAAGCCAGTCTCATGCAATTGCTCGGTCAAATAGAGCAAAGAGGGGAGGAAGTATAGCTCGAAAGGGTTCGGTTTCCTCGACACCACCAGCCAACCCAGAGGAGCCTTCCGCGTCGCTACGTCCGAGAGTAGCAAAGACACGGGCGACAGCTGCAATCTCGAACAACACCACCCGCCGGATCAGAAGGGCAATTCCTGATACCAGGGATCTTGATTTTGATACATTTTTGAAGATGAAGAAGAAGAATCCAAAATTCTGATCCTGCATAAGCTTTCTCTTGTTGCTGTGTCAGAGGGCTCCCATCTAAGTCTCACTGAACTCATACAGGCCTTCCCGATCCTTCACAGGTACTTCAATCCCTGCCTCCTCGATGTCCTTACCATCAACCTTCAACCCGGCCCTCATCACATCGCCCGTCTTTACCGGCCCCACGCCCTTGGGCGTTCCCGTCAGTACAATGTCGCCCTTCTCCAGCGTCATGACCCTGCTGATATCGCTCAACTGCCTCGGGATCTGGAACAGCATCAACTCGGTGTTATCAGACTGCTTTACTTCGTTGTTCACGGACAGCCAGAGATGCGCTTTCTGAGGATCCGGGATCCGGTGCTTGGCAATGAAGTTTGAAATAGGCATGAAAGTGTCGAAGCCTTTGGCTATGGACCAGGGGAGGCCTTTGCGTTTTGCTTCGTCTTGCACGTTCCGAGCTGTCATGTCGATGGCAAGAATGTATCCTTGTCTCATGTGTTAGTTCCTTGGGCTGTATAATCATATTTACATTGTTCATTTGGGCGGTGATTGTGGGGTCTTCACGCATGGAATATAGCCAGAGCAGAACAAGAATTCTTGTTATTTCACATACCTTCAATAGCATCCATGGCACCTTTTGTATCTTCTGGGTGTAAATCTCTCAATTGCTTGCCCATGATGAGACCGAGTTCGACTTCGTAGTGCATATTCACCCCACGCGGGCGCAGTACAGGACCAGCGCCTGGAAGAAGAATGGAAGAGGGAGGCTTGAGGAAAAAGAACGGCTGCTTGGGTGTGGCAGACGACAATTCCTTGATGTGATCGGCGTAGTTACGGCCTATGCACATGACCTATTCCTTGTATTAGGAATTGTATGTCTTGATCAAATTTTCATGTCTCCCCCCCAAATACTTTTGTTGTTTTGCGTGCGCAGGCAAAAGGTCCGTCTGAAAATATATTATCCAGCCTCTCTTTTTTTTTCTTTTTTTTTGCTCACACCTAGGTACATCTCGAGCCTGATATCCCACATCTTATCCCCCTCAATCGACTCTCCTTCTTTCATGCTCTTTCTACCATCGGTGATCATCCCCCTCACCATACCCACGCATAATACGCAATCGGTCCAACACCTTCACCCCAAAACAAAACAAAAACACGTACCTTGCGGCAATTCGCCCGTATAGCTTGTATACTCGCCATGATCAGCAACCAGTCTTGCTATACCTAGTATCCCTAAACCTCCCAAGAGCGAGACACAATGCCAAGAGTTAAGAAATAGCGAGAGTTTGAGCGTAGATTGGTCAGAAGCAAAAAGTTTTTGAAATGGGGTACCTGACGTTGCGTGTTAAAAAGAGGCCGAAAGTTTTGACGTTCGGATTCCGGACTAGTTCGGCAATAACGAGGTATATACCCGGCAATCTTTTGTCTTGTGGGAAAAACACGCTTGCGGAGTTGTGCGTGTGGGGTTAGGTTAGGTTGGGTTGGGGGTGGTGGGGGAGGAACGAGGTCTGAGCTTTGGGGGCTTTGTCGACGTCAACTTCGATGTCAATGTTACTTCTCGCTCTTGGCTACAGAAACGAGCGTGTCGTCGACAGAACATATGGGGAACCGTTTCTGATAGGGGTTGACATCATTGTATAAGAGGAAAAGAGGGAAAAAGAGATTCATCAAATATACACGCTTTGATTACGGTGCACTGCACCGCACCACAGGACGCTGCTGCACAAACCGGTACAGCCGCGCAACCAAGGTCCACAACGACAGCAACAACGACGAAATTAAATTTATCCACAATGCCCGAAACCGAAAAAGCCTCTTCAATCCCGGATTCTGAACAACCCTCGATGCGCCTCGCAGAAATCCTCTCCGATCTCGTGTCCCTCCGCGTCTGCGTACGTGTGTTCCCTCTACCCAACGCCCCTCCATCTTCTCCAGCATATATATGCAGTATAAGAACCACCGCTGACATGAATTCCAACAGGACCCCGCTGCCGCTTTGGCACTTGTTTCTGCACGCCCTGGTGATGTGCAACACTCTACAACCACGACTGCAAGCACGAACGGAGACGCGAAGGAAAAGAACGATGACGACGATGTAGACATTAAGCGCGCAAAGGAGTTAGTAAGGCTGCATTATGAAGTCAAGCAGGCACATAAGAAAGGGGAGTTGAGCAGAGCGTTGGAGGAGGCGAGGGGGAGTGTGGAGCGGGCTTTGGGTGGGGTGATTTGAGACGGGTTGGGATGACAGGAGAGTTGACCATTGCAATGGTGGATGTGGACGAGCGTCACATGTCCATCGGTGGATAATTGAGCTCCAAGGTGGTGGTTTGAGGACTGGCAAAGAAATTGCTAGGTGACATGATGAGTCACTGGAAGGTTCCAAGGAAGAGCGCATTGGGCGGGAAAAAAAGGTCCTATGCGAGAGGGGAAAGCGGAGGAGAAGGATTTTGGAGATACGAAAGCACGTTATGATTATGGCGGCTGTATATGGGCAGATGTTTGGAGGCATGACATGCTGGCTGAACGAAGACAAGCTAGCAGCTGCAACTTAAGAGCTTCTAACCGGACGACTAGTCAAGCACATAATATTTCGCGGGTTACTTTTGCAATAAGCGCTGCAATTAAGGACAGCGAACGCCTCAAAGTCTGTGGAATAGGGGACGAGACGATGGCTTATTAAGAACTGCTTGATAGCTAGTAATATGTAGTCCTAAAGAGGGTGTGTATGCATATATGTCAGACTCTATGTTCGTCACGGTCAAGATCCTTGACCTTTCCCCCTTCGCTCCCCCCTTCGCTCCCCCCTTCGCTATCACTGTCACCCAATAATCCATCCCATGCATCATCATTTAAGCTATCCGTGTCCTCTTGCCCCCCCGTATCTCTGTCCACCCTGACGTTGACGAATAGTACCCAGAGCCCCAGATCATACGTGATCCTGCAGATGCCCGTGGCGAGAAATGCAACCCAGAAGTTTCCAGATCCCGAGAGTAAACCTGTGATTGACGGACCGACGCTCATGGCAAGCGTACGTACCATACTCGTGATACCCATGACACCTGTACGTTCTTCTGGCTTTACGACTGCGGCGATGAAGGCGGTACGCGGTGCTTGATCCATGCTATTGAGCGCAGCGCGGAACAGTAATAACCCAATCGTGGGACCCACGGTCTTAGGTAGAGGGATGAAAGCGCTTGCTATTGACGAGGGAAGATGAGTGAAGACCATTGTGTTGATGAGCCCAATCTGCTTTGCAAGGGGGCCAGCAAACACGGCACTGACAGCGCACAGGAACTGCGAGGCTGACTGGATATCCCCGAGCCTGGACTTGGAGAGATGGAACTTTTGGTCGACATAATAGTTCATGAGAGAATAAGGCGTCATGCCATCGGCCAGGGAGTCGATGGCGAGGAGGATCCAGAGCTTGAACATGATGGTCCTTGTCGGTTTGGATATCTGGCTGAAGTAGCTCTGATTCTGCGGTTCCGGGACACGAAGATCCCGTCGTCGCGCACGGCGTTCTTCGCCGTCTTCGAATCCATCTGCTGTACTAGGTGTCATGGCCTCCAACAACACTTCTTCCTCTTCCCCGTCTCCCTCTCCATTCCCCCTCCCCCGTTCTTTCATCTCCGCCCTCTTCTCACCCGCCGCTTCACACCGATCACTCAACCCCAAACATAATATACTTCCCAACACCCCAAACCCTGCATACCCCCAAAACAAGGCATGATAAGCCTTTGTAACATCCCCGCTACTCTTCTCAAGCGCATGCACCGTCCTCCCTGCCACCTCTGCGCCCACCGCCCCGGCCATAGTCGTCGCCGTCACATACCAAGACAGCACATCACTTCTCGTCCGCTCATCCGTCAACCCACTTAGTACGCTCTCCTCTACCGCGCGAAACGGCCCACAATCCGCGCCCGTCACGGAAATAATGCCAAACACGGCGGCCACCAAGAGGACCCAAAAGTTCTCCGACAGCGCAAACACGACACCCGAGCCGGCCATCATCACGCTTCCTCCAAACAGAATCCTCCGCCGCCCGAGTTTGTCGGCTACGAGAGTGAGGAGCAGTGAGAGCAGGACGTCGCCAAACAGTGTTAGCGTCATGAAGATGCCAATTCGCGAGTCTGGAAACTTCAGCGAGGAGAAGAAGAGTGCCAGGATGAGGCTGGGGATTCCCGCTGTGAACATGCGGAGGGAACGCAGGGTGATGATGATGTACGCATCTCGGCCAACGTGGTTGAGTGATGTGATGCCTAAAAAGCCTTTTGTACGGGAGAGGATAGTAGGCGATTGCATTGTGATAGTTTGGTTTGCGTACGACTGCTGAGCTTGTAATTTGATGTTTAATTCCTCCAGGAGGGTGTAGGTACCGGTACCAACCGCACGAGTGGGAAACCCGTCTCGTGATGTGGTAGGTAGGTAGGTCTTCTCCAAAAGTGGCAAACAAAATCGTAGGTACGGTGGGTAGTCACACCCCACACACACAATAGGTACAAAAAGTACCACCACGAAACTTTCACCTCCCAAACCAATCTACAAATCAGATGAAAACAGAAACAGAAAAAAAGACACAAGAAAAGAGTAGAACATCCAACACAGCAGGGGAACAAAAGAAACCCCAACTTTTCCCACCAACGCTAATCCTGCACTACCTATCTTAGATAAGCATAACACCCGCAGCGGATATAACCTCTTCCATACCGGGTATGACACGCACCTCGACATCACGCGCATATAAGTATGCTTCTCAGCGCATACCAGGCCCTGGTTGGGAGAATGATGATGCGCGGCCGAGATGCGCCGGGAATGTGTTCAAGGGTGGCGGGGATGGATCCACGTCATACCTACTTGTAGAGTACCTACCAAGTCTTTGCTCGCCTGTGTGGTTGGGCGGGGGGGAGGAGGAAAGCCGCAAACTTCGGCATACTATAGCTAGGGGATGACATGTTGAGAATTCTATTTCCGATATGTCTGGGAACGAGCTCATCAGTAGAGTATTAGCCTGGTTGTACGAGCTTGTTTGCTACGGTTGGGATGGGCGTCTTGACAGGCGTGTGGCGTGTCTCTGGTAAGTCAGAGAGAGGTACAAACTCATTGTTGCAAAGACTGTCTAAACTATCGTATGGAAATAGCAAGATCATCATATATCAACTAGTAAGTAGCAATACCATGTTGCGCCGTTACTGTCTATATGTACTGCCATCTTGACAACTTCCATACTAGAATCCATACCAGTATTCGACACTATAAAACACCTCATCTCCCATCCTCATTCCTTCCAAACCCCCTAAATCCGCCTGTATCGCGTCTGAAAAATTTCCCAATATTCTTCAAATTGCTCTCCAGGTTCGCTTTTGCATCGCCACCAGCGCTATCCCCACCAACACCACCACCAGATGGTAAAAGCCCTGCTCCCGGCGCTGGGCTCCCAAAACGATCCACTCCGTCCCTTGCCGCATTCACCAGCATGTTGCCCAAGCCTGTCGCATCGAATCTGCCACCCACACCCAAGTTTGGTGACATCACACTACCTGCATTCCCTAGACTGCCAATACCTCCACCGTGGACAGGGCCAATCTGCAGCGGCGTGAGAAAGGGCGAGTTGGCTACAAGATTCTCATGATTCGGGCTTGCGCGGAAGGCCGAAAAAAGGTCAACAAGTTGGGTTTGTTCAGCCTTGCGAATGCCTTTGAGCTCGAGGATCTTACGAAAGTTGGCATCGGATTTGTCGGCGATGTGAATGAGGTAGGCTTGCACAAGGGCTTCGGGGGGTGAGGGCCGAACTTGGAGTGTTTTGAGGAGGGGATCAATCTTGGACATGCTCTGGTTTACACGCTTGACAAAGCTGGTAGGGTTGTTAGTAGATTTTGGATAGGTGGGAGGTGGAGCAGTATCCTACCTAGCTGGCGGGGCTACGCCTGCTTCTTCGTTGAGCGTAGGCAGCTCCGTGAAGCCCTTCTTCAAGACGTACGAGTCCAGCAGCATCTGCTCCGCCCCGGCTTCGGAAATGGGCTTGCATTGTACAATGTTGCCAATGTAGGTAGAGGCCATCAGGTCCACAAGGTTGTCGCAAAAGGCTCGTGCATATTGATGCTTATGAAGATACTTCAATATCGGGCCAGCGGTTTCCTTGGCATTGCGGAGAAGTTCTGCAACGTATGTACTCTGATCGCCAACACTTTCGAGCTTCGCCCAAGGTGTGTTACGCATCTCCCGCCAGCTGGGCTCGCATGCAAGCTCAACCTTACGGACTAGCATGCGTACTGCAGCGCTGGCGATGCCCATGAAGACATCGGCTTGGCTTTGAAGATCGACCTTCGTCTTGAATTCCTCGTCAATACGACCCTTGATCTTCTCTTCGAGCTGATTACAGGTGGTATAACAGTAATCTGCAGTATTGAGGATCAGAATTGCGTCCTCTACAGAAGGTCCTTGAGATCCGGCTCTTTCGCTCAGCGTGTAGTATAACACTTGCTGCCCATACTGATCCAAGTATCTCGCAAATGTCGTGGATAACTCTAGCAATCTGGCCCCTGTCGATAGCTTGGCACACTGTCCTAGGGTCAGGCGATAGAAATGGAAGAGTTCCGTAGACGACGGCATGACAGCTTGGTGCGAGAATTCTTCCTCGGTATTTCGTAGCGGCTGTTGTCGATACTTTGGCATCAGACTAGCGAGTTGCTTGTCTTGTGATTCTACCCAGAGACTCATGTAAGGTTCGAAGGCTTCTGAGATGGCTTGACTGAAGCCAGGTTGTCGGTCGTCCTTGGAAGCCATTGTGTCTATAGAGGAGCGAGATTCATTGGAGAATCTCCGCTCTAAACTTTGCTCAAAGTTGAGTGTCTCCTGCAAACAAGATAGAAGGAGGTCCACGTCTAGAGTCTGGCCGTCTCCTCTTTGCATTGACTTGCGCAATATGCCTTTAAAGTCTTCCCGTGTACCTTCACAGAATGAGTTGGCCAATTGCTCATTCACCCGCCAATACGACGGGAAAATAGAAGCATGTTCCACATCGTAAGTCTTCAGCATCCGGTTGAACCATGAATACCGTCTGGCGATGTTGTCCAACGAGCCAGCCTAGACCCAATCAGTAAAGTAACATAGGGCACCTTCTGAGTCGTGCACTCACTTCATCGTTGCCACGGAACACCTGCCGATACTCCCGCAGCTGGGTGTTGCAGTACCAATTGACTAGTCTTATACGCGCATACTCGCCAAGTGCATCGATGACTAAGCACGCCTCTGCGAGCATAGCTTTACGCTGTGCAGTCTCGTCTTTTGCGAAAGTAAGCTCGAAGTCCTCGCAGACCTGCTCCAAAAGCTCGCCCTGAACATCTGCCACGTTGCGACTGAGCGTTGCAATCTGATCGATGGAGCGGTAGCTCTTGAAATGCGCCACGAGTTGGATGACTGCCTGCAGCAGTTGGGCACACTCTCGATACTGGCGTGACTTGCTCAAGCTACGCAATTGTTCGTACGCCGTGGTCAACATCTGGAGGCGCTTCAAGGCCGTCATGGATAGTGTGAGGTTCTTCTTGGTGCTATCAAGACGCTTGATGTCGGCCGTCATTTCAGTGATGGTCTGCTCCGTCTGCATGGCTCGCTCGCGCACGCTCTCGATCTTGGTGAAGAGGTCTGCCAGCTCTGCTTTAGCAAGCTGTATGCGCCGCACGCTGTCCGCATCCGAGGCCGACTGTATGGCGACCACCTCTGCAATGTCTTCGTCAAGGTCATCCTGGTAATTGCGGAGCGCGTCGGCGGTGGCGGAGATGGACGAGAGGGCAGTCGGGTGGGAGAAGATGACGTTCAGGTGGTCGATGGGATTGTATTCAGCTGCGTTGAGCGTCAGCGCTGACTCCATGCCCATATATCCTGTCACCGGGCCGGCGTACTAGATTCGAGCGTCGTAGAGGGTGTGAAGAGAGCAGAGGGTGCAGGCACGGGGGGCCAAGAGACGGCCGCATTAACCCACGCGCAATTGGAGATGAGCGCTTGTGTCGATCGAGAGGAAGGTGCACTGTTTATCGAATCGAAAGGCTTTTTCAATTTCCCCAACTCCCCACTTTCTCTTCATCAGACGGTGGGTGCAGAGGCAGATTGGTGGCTGTGGTCCGTTGCAAGTGTGTGACGTCTGGCCTCTAAGCGGCGCTCATGCTTCATGTTGAACCCAGGGCCTAGCTGAGTTCACCTATCAGATGTGGCCCGAGCGTCTCACTACCTAAATCCGACTCATTCGCAATTCATCAGTCGGCTCGTAGCTCACAATGGTTCTCGATATGAACACGTAGCTAGACCACAAATCCCGCTTCTGGTCATGCTAAGACGCTATGCTGATATGCACTTCTTTTTCCCAGTCTCCCTCTCAATCCAGGAACCACACCACACTCCCGACCAAGGACTTGGTAGGAATCTAGGGAACCTTACTGCGGAAACAGACCAAGGAAGCCGTTGTAGACCAAACTACGGTCTTTTTGATGAATCGAGCTTGCATCACCAGTTCCCGTCCAGTAAAAGAGCCCTCCCAGGCCATTCTGTCGCACATAGTTTGCTTTCATGCGAACTGTCTGAGGCGTGTCGTAGGTAACGAACCCGCCGTCTCCACCTATGCAGTAAGCCGCACCAAGCTGTTGGTCGACGTGTTCTTCCGCACCCGGGCATGGAAGATCCCGGTATTCAAATGTGCCCTCTTCACCAGCCTGGCCTTTGAACGAATGGCCAACACCGCGTGTCCCCGTGAAAGATCGACCGTATGCAGGCACCCCCATAATGATCTTATGCGGTGGCACACCCTGTCGCACGAGGTATGAGACAGCAGAGTGACAGGATATGGCAGCTTCGGGACAATGCGGCACTTGTGGAGTGAATAGCTGCGCCTGGTGGCCAGTCTTAGATACCCAAGGGCCAGAAAAATCGTACGCCATTAGATTGATCATGTCCAGGTAGGAGGCAGCATGCCCTAGGTTGATATGCTGAAGGGCCCATTCACCAGCAGGAAGAGCCGAGGAGAGGGTGTATTGGGGAGCTGGTAGATACTGTCGCAATGTAGCAAGCAGAGCAATATAGTCCTGGCCCTGTTTGGCATCGGCAGGGTGCTCCCAATCGACTATGTGAAATTTCATCAGCGACCACAAGTCAACGGGACTTCTGCCAAACTCACTATCAATTCCATCAATCCCGAATTGTTGCACCAACTGCAATGATGATTGGGCAAATCGTTCGCGGTGGCTGGCATCTCGAGCAACCCCAGCGAATGGCTCACTGCCTTTCCCACCGCCACCAACGGAAAGAACCACTCGAAGCTTGGTATACTTCTTCTTCAACAGAGCGAAAGAATTCAAACAGCCCTTTGTAGCCGGAATATCATCAGTACCTGCTACTTCGATCTGAGTATCCGCCCACTCATCACTGAGCTATAATGCGCGGTCAATTCATGTCGTTCACCACCGGTCACAGGACATACGTAGACTGTTCCATCATCTTTCACCCTATACTAGTGTCAGTCATTGCTGATGCTACCATCGAGCACACAACTAACCAGGCAAATGCATAGAAAACGTGCGATATGACATCATAGTTCAAGGAGATGGGCGGTTGTTCGCGATAGATGCGCCAATTGGGATAGTATACACCGTTCCAATACATGGCTTCGGGTGGTGCTGGGAAGTTGGCGTCGAGGTGGTCGTGGGAAGAGAGGTACGCTCGGCTCATGGTCGGCTGTCAGCTAGGTAACTAGCAGCTTAGCTGCGTCACTGGGCCTACACTCCAGGAAACAGAGGGAGCTTCGAGATCGGTACCCGGCTCTTGGAGGAATTATACTGTGCCTCTCCTCATGCCTGTGCCGACTAAATATTCCCACGGGTGGTCAAGAGTGTATCGAGTGTACGTTCGGCAGTTGATCGAAGTTTCCTCACATTGCAGCCATCGCTACAACCTTATTTCTCCAAGGAAAATGAGGGTCCTTCAGCGATATTTATACTGCTTCCGAAGTTGATGTGGGAACTGGAGAAATACCCTCTATATGCGACCGTGAAAGTATATATCTCATTACAGTAGTGATTTTTAAGGATGGCGGCGGAAGCACCGCAGTCGATGATAACCTCTCACAATAGACTGCGCCAGGTTCTTGCATTAGGCAACGTCTTCCGCGCGGGACTTCACATATTCGCTCCACTACTAGGCAGTACTCGTGCTCCTTAGAGTAGGCTTATGTTGGGTTTCATGCTGGATTTGCCGGAACATGCATCAAGATCCATGCTTCCGTAGACGATCCAAGAGTAGTAAAGACTATAATCATCTTTGGTCATGCAATTGACAGTGGTGACATGACATCGTCGCAACCGAGACCTGCTTGGTTTACCGGATCTATGATGGTATTATTGGTCGATACAAATACAGAATTGTATCTTCGCAGCCTTTGACCAGCAAAGCCGTTCACAACGGAAGATACTAGGGAGATCAACTACAGTCTTGCTGGTGCGTACTGTGTACGTGGCCGAAAACTGTGAACTGAATTCACTGTCTTAGAGGCCGTGTACAGGTTGTGCAGGAACCTGGCTAGGGGAAAAGATTGCGTGACTTCTGCGAGGTAAAGCCAAGCCGGGTAGGAAAGCCGCAGCTACTGTAGATGCACGCTGTGGAGCTCTAGCATTACGAGTCGATAGTCGCATATCTGTGAAAACGAAATCTGCTTTTCAGTTTAGAAGTTTTACTCTACTGATTACTCGTACAGCGATGTGATTATAATGATCAATCGACAAAAAGCTGTGAATCTCGCCCCGAAGCTTTGCATATGCTGCCGTCATTGTGCCAGCGGCAGATAAAAATGCGAAGGCTTCATGAGATACTTAGTCGATTGAGATGTTTGCGTGGTCGTCCTGTCAGCAAGGATCATTCGCGTTGCGCAGAAGATGTGAGTATGTGAGAAAGATTGCAGATGATAATGACGAAAAACGCGCTAGTGTCTTGGCTAATCACGTGCAGCTGGTTAGTCGCGTCGACCTTGCAAGTGCTCAGATAGAGTAGACGGGGTCTCACCAGTCACCACCAACACAAACCAGAACTGCACACAATCGAGCCCTGCTTGGAACTCAACACAGGCAGGCCATTACTACACCACAGGCGTGCATATCCTATCTGTGTCTGCAACCGCCCAGTTATCCTCCACACGACTGTCTCCTCATATGCTCCACCCACACAGTGTTGGAAGAAGATTTCTTTGATAGGCGTCGTTGGATGTACTTGTAGGGCGAAGATCGCCGAGCATAGTGATTGGCTGCACCATGGCCGAAGTCATGACGCCAGTAGCTGCGGAGACACCAAACCAGGCGCAGGAGGAGCCTGGACTGCCAACATATACCTTCAAATTCAGCGACTTTCTTCGACGCGAATATCGCTTTGGCTTGAACCCTGATCGACCGACATGTAAAGCTTTCATGCAGGGCCACTGCCCAGACGGCAATCGATGCCCAAATAAGCATCATGTCACGTCTTCCTATAACAAGTGTGTAGCTCCATTATTCGCGGCCATCTTGTGTGCGTATTTGAACTAATCTGTACGCTATAGTCTTGTGTGCAAGCACTGGCTTAGGGGGCTATGTAAAAAGGGTGATACCTGCGAGTTTCTTCACGAGTACAATCTGCGCCGAATGCCCGAGTGTTCATACTACGCGCGGACACAAACATGCTCTAACGGCGACGACTGCCTCTACCTCCACATCGATCCGGAAGCAAAACGGCCAGCATGCCCCCATTACGATCGCGGATTTTGTCCCCTAGGGCCACACTGCGCCCTCAAGCACAACAAGAAAGATAAGCTATGTCCATACTACCTGTGTGGGTTCTGCCCAGAAGGCAAAGGCTGTAAATATGGAGCGCATCCAAGATATCCAACAGACCTCAAGAAGCCAGAGGTACGAGTCGAAAAAAGTCCAGAAGAGCTGGAGGCAGAGAAAGTGGAGCGAGAGAGAGAGATGATGCGGAGAGAAGAGGAAGACAGGGAGCGAGACGAAAGAAACGGTCATCAGGGTGGTAGAGGCTTCAGAGGTAATTGGGACCACAAGAAGCGCGGGCGTGGCAGAGGTAGGGGCCGAGGACGCGGAAATTATTAATTTTTAATCCTCATATTCACAACCAAAGATGATGCCCTATGTACGCATGCAGCTTACATCACGCGGAATAAACCCTACGGTTACTCCTAGTGAGACGTCAGAGCCCATATCTGTTGTAGCGACTACCGCGAATGAAAGCTGTGGTGGAACTTGAACTTTAACCGGCAAATTCATGGCCACAATGGGGCTGGCAGAAGCTCAAGCCCTGCGGACATAGGTATAAGCCCACCGAAAGTGCTACAGAAACGACTACAATCAAACAGGTAATTGGTGTTTGTTATATTTTGGAAATGGTGACGCAAGGAGTTAGTGTAGAAAGTCATGGCCTCCTTTGCCTAACCTACATCACACGTCAACTGTGGTATGATCATCGATCCAAGTATCATGCACTGGGGCGACCTAATAGAATTTTCTTACGTTCACTAGAGACATTGACTCAGCTGACGCAATCTTGAACGGGGAGAATCACTTACCTATGGACGCCTATCGGCCTCCCACCCTCACGAAATAAGATATACATCAATATCTCTGGAAAGATACAGCAAACTAGTAGCACATATGCTTCAAAAACAGCGAACATAAATAACTCATTGACAGTACTGTACAAATTGTGATCGGCTAGATGGAAGAACATATCAGTATGTAGTCACATTGGGCTATCTTCGCATCAGTTTTGGTCAGATGGGAGGCCGTGACATCAACTGCCTTGGAAATTCCTCTGGGTCTAAACGAAGATATACGTTTACGTAACTGCGCTACTGCATTGCCATGAGATGAACCGCCTCGACTGTGAGATGTACCAGAGACTATTCTGTACCAAAGACATGAAGGCGAATCGACACAATCGAAGCTGAGCGTTCAACGCACACAGAATCCACAACATGATGTGCGATCGATGTGCTGACCAGTAAAAGTGGTATTTCGTATCTTGATTCATGGGCTACCCTGTCAATGCACCGGTTATCAATCATCAATCAGGTAGACATCTGTCTCGGATACTGATCCTTTAGGCGCTCTGCAAGATTGGCTCAACCACATAGTATATCTGGGTAATCAGGTGACGTCATGTTCGCAAACGTCTTGAATAGCGGGGGCCCTCGTCAAGTTCAATATGAATGCCAAGAGCTATCTGATGTGCTGGTCCCAACTTTGATTTTTTTTTATTCGCCATCTAACAATCGGCACCATCGTAGGAAGGCTATAAAACTAAGGTCTGCTCGTCGATTTACCCGCGCAATGGAAGAAGCCTCAAACAAGTAAGCTCTAGTCGTTCTCATCATTCGACTTGCTTCAAACTGTTCTAATATCACACTTCTTTGTTTCGGGGCGCATATCCTTTTTCATTGAGAGGTCAACCCGCTCGCTCATCAGGCCCAGTGGCGCTCGTCTTGCCCCGGGTACGGTACTTGCTCTTGACCCTAGCAATGATTGCGATGTACTACTCAGCGATCCTCCGCCATGCTGCGCCTTGGTCACCATCCCCCTCTTTCGTGCCCTCTCTATTCTCCGTTTGCCATCCATTGGCAGTGATCTGCTTCCTTCGTTTCAGATCTATGGTCTTTATGTGTACAGTAATTTCATGCCCATCAGTCACTATTTTGGGATTGCATGTCATGAGACTGCAGAGCCAAAGGCAATTTGCTTCACACCAATGTGATAACATGGCCTATATAACACGGTATTCTCAACGGTGATCAAATTGTCATTATCGTACTCTTCTCGTCAACTACCCCTTTTATTATTTCACGATGCGAGCCTCATGCCTCTTGTTGATATCCGCCAACGTTGTAGTCAACGCTTTCCCTAACATATGGGGTAGTGGATCTAGCGCTGCGGTAGAAGCAGACATTCCGAATTTGGGCCCAAATGTTATCATTGTCCGTCCGATTGATCCTACCAATTCTGAGCAGATCTCCAAAGCTGGGGAGAACCTTAGGAATATTTGCGGGTCTGAGCACGTCAGAGCTCATCAAACATCTGACGGGACTCCATCTTGGTTGGTCACTTTGAGCGACCGAGAGACACTTCAGTACCTTCCAGGTATGCACATTGAGTTGACAGTCTACGTAATAGTATACTAACAATTTTCGATCACTAGAGCACCCGTGGCTTCAGCTTGATGAGATCTCAAAGGAGACTTTCTCTGCATTCTCCAGGCGGCGCTCGAAGCGTGCCGGCATATTCCACGCGATGATCTGTTCTACAACATTGCTGCGAAGGACTACTACAATGACGAGGAGACTAAAGCGACTCGTGATTTCATCAACACCAAACTCACGAATCCCGATCAGGAGATCATCGAGTTTACTTATCCGGGAACTAGTCATGTTCTTGGCTGGGGTCATGTTCAATTGAGGGAAGCGGCTAAGAGCGAGCTGGAGGCATATGCTGGCATCGTATCACCTCTGGGGGAAGATGGTCCCGTTGACGATGAGCGAGCTGTCTCCGACAGTGGACTTGAAATTCCTCGTAATGCCCGGGCATCGAGGCTCTCGGGGATGATCCATTCTTCATACATGGCTGTCACTAGTCGTCTTGCCATCTTTAAACGTGCGATTACGTGGACAAAACAAGCACCCGCCAGTTGGGATTTGAACATGGTCAGTCAGCCAAAGTCAGTCATGTCGTCCAGCCCAACCTAAGAAACTGCGTATTGACCTTGTCCAGAGAGATGAAAGATGACCAAGTGAGCGATTTTGTGTACGACGACAATGCCGGAGTTGGAACCTGGGTTTATGACATTGACTCTGGGGCTGCGCTCAGAGTCATAAATGTGCGTTCTTTCATGACAATATATTCCTTTTCTTGAATGCTGACCCTCACTCCAGTCAGATGGCCAGTCGGAATTTGGAAACGTCGAAACACTGCAGACCCAGCCGTCCAAAGACCCAGCCGTCCAAGGACGCTGGTGAGGCTGAAGATTCAGATGGCAGCGACACATCGCACGGCACAAAGGTTTCCTCTAAAGCTGTGGGTCAAAAGTATGGTGTAGCCAAACGGGCGACTCTCGTCTCAGTTAAGATGAGGCCCGAAAGGTCTAGATCGACGGCAGACTTCATCAAGGCTATAGATGATGTGGTGAATCATCTAGCTGATGATGAGAGAGCCGACCGACGTTCGAAAACAGTGATCATCTCAAGTCTAGGATTCTCTCAGGCGGACCCCACACACACCGCTTTTTTGCGTCCCATCTTTGAAAGCCTGTTTGCGCTAGGTATACCGTTTGTTACATTTTCTGGTAATTTTGGAGATATTCTACCTGATATCAACAAACTACCCAAAACGCTGGTTGGGCCAGACATGCCCATCCTGATCGTGGGTGCTGTTGACGATCAACGCAAGAAAACCAGCTACTCTCAGGCGGGCAAAGACGAGGACATGATATATGCACCTGGAGGTACCGACGCTCGCAAGATTGAAGTACAATCGAGATTCAACAAAAACGAAGGTGAAGGTACTCCGGGCCAAGAGAGAGGCACATCGTTCGGTGAGTAGTGAAACTGGCCAATGATAAGAAAGACTAACGATCATCTTCAGCCGCCCCGATTGTAGCTGGTGTCATTGCTACATACTTCAACTATGACCCAAAGCCATGGGACGACTCAAAGACAGGAAAGCAACGTGTACAAGCAATTGAAGACTTCATTCGCAGCGACTCATCGAGCTGGGATGACTCAGGGCTAAGTCGGACTATATGGAACGGCGCCACTCGTGCTGACCACCAAAGCCCTGGAGCAAATGGTCAGTCAGTGCCTCCAGCGGGACCTACCAAAGCTCTTAGCATCATCGGCGAATATACACCCGAAGCCTCGACCTTCGACTGGCTTTTCTTTTCCATAGACTACGATACAGGTGCTGAGTGCCGTACCGACATAGCGACAGAGCCGAAGACGGTACCATTTTCTGATACTGGTATGACCTACCCAGGAGGAACATGGGATGTCGACCTTGCTGGAGAGAAGTGTGAATACAAGAATTCGGGAGACAACCCAGGCGCTCTGTTCTGTAATGGCAAGGAAATCGCTTGCTTCGACGAGGCGGGTGATTCCGAGCCGGACAAAGGAGAGTATGAGTGTGGTGGGAAGATGCGCCAGCCTGTCTTTATCTGCCCTTACTAGGTTGTTGATATATCTTCAGAATGTTCCTTGTTATGTTTTCATGGAAGTAAATATGGGTTTTGGGTTGTGAGCTTTATTTTGTTTTTCACAGTCGCTACAATTGCCCCCACGCACTGATCGCGTATAACATACATTCCTTGCCGCTTATGACTAAAGCAGCTTTTCTATGATGAAGCTCCTTAGTGACCGTTTTCATGCTTAACTTTAGTTGATCAAATTCCTTGATTGTGTCGCCCATGACTTCTCAAAAAAGACCAATTTATCTAATTACATTGTCTATATTATCTACCAAGTTGAGGTCTAATATGCATGGATTCTATCACTGGTGTATCTCGTACATTCTACTTCAGCACAGACTAGTATTTCTGATTATATTTCTGGTTAAGACGACGATGAAATTTCCTGAGTGGGCCTCTGTGAATGAGAAGTGGTGTTGAGCATGGATGAGATATCGGATTGTATGGCTTGAGTGTACACGGTGGCTAGATTCTTGGACAAAATGCGTATGCTTCTAACCTTGCATGAGGAGAAAAAGAGTGAACTTTTAGAGTTATTGAAAATGGTAGTCTGACCACACAGGTATCAAATGTTTTATGTCTTCGTAGCTCCAACATATAGCACTGGCCATCACGTGCTGGCCTATCATTCATCATTTTTTGAAATGGCAGTCCTGAACCCACTATAGCAGAGAAAGTTCCATTTGAAGTGGCCGCAGTATCTGAAAATACTATTCTAACAAATGGATACCATTGCGAGTGTTGTGCGATATCTACCATTCGAGCTCGATCCCGGCATCCTATACGAATAATCTATTCGTCAATGTCCACTCGCTCAGAACTGCCGATACATATCCATCGCAATACTATGCGGGTATGTCTAGTGTACCGCATGACTGCAAGCGGCATGTGTCTCACAGCATGCGACATCTTAAGATGTGGACATTTTCTTCATGGCCTATCGCCGTATTTCGTCGACTATCGGTCTACCAACATGCTTTCCTTTACCCTCCTAATGTTCCTGGCGACAGCAGCCCAGGCCCACTGTTAGTTCCACCACTGCTGAGACTAAGATTCTACTAATGCACTCAGATCGCTTCCCGAAACTTATTCTCAATGGAGTCGCCGAAGCTCAAGAATGGACTTCAATCCGCCAGACCAAGAACTATCAAACAAACTCTGGTGTAACGTCAGTGATAAGTGCGGACATGCGATGCTTTCAGAGCAAGCCAGGCACTGGAATTGCGATTGTTGCCGCTGGTGATACTTTAGGCTTTGTTGCTGAAACATCCATCTCGCACTTTGGCCCTGTCCAGTTCTACATGGCGAAAGTTCCGGGAAATTCAGATATCAACACATGGGAGGCAGAGGGTGACCTGTGGTTCAAAGCTGCGAGTATCAGTACAGTGGGGAGCCCATTGACTAGCAGTGGGAGCACATGGCCCGCCTACCGTATGTCTCCGTCAGATATCAAAATCTCCGGCGCAACGTTTATTGACACGTGAAGCAGAGAAGAAACGGGTTGAGTTTGTTATCCCCAAGGCTACGCCAAGCGGTAAATACCTTGTTCGTGTGGAGTCTATTGCATTGCATCAAGCATCGTCGGTTGGTGGTGCACAAATGTATCTCTCTTGCGCTCAAGTTCAGGTCACAGAGGGTGGGGATGGATCGCCAAAACCATTGGTAGCCTTTCCAGGGGCGTATAATGCGAATGGTTCAGTGTTGAGATGGTCGTACTATCCGATCCCGACCACTTACACAGCTCCTGGGCCGCCAGTATGGGATGGGAAATAAACGGCTCATTACCGTAGGTATAATTGCTGTAGATATAATCACCATACGTATGAAAGGCGTCTGGAAGGGCTACGATATAGTTTGGCTTGCAAGCAGATGTTTCTTCGTCAATGTAACTTACCTTGTCGACTTGACTGTATCTCGTTGCTGACGGAAGTTGACATTGTAGGATTTTGTCCAAAAATGGGTCAAAGATTGATCATCCACTGTAACACGTGACTGCGCGTCTTCTCTTGGCGCGACCTGCTTGCCACTGCCTTCAGTGCCTTGGTACCAGACAGCAACACCACCACCACCACCAACATCGTCGATGCGCCCCTCGTGACCTGTCTTTCCTTTTGATGTTCAGAAATCCAAGGGAGAATTGCGCTCTGCCTGAGACACTGCAATTGGTGCCCTCTACCGGCCGCGCCCCCTCGCCACCCCGCGTCTCGTCTTACGTCGCTGACATGGCTGTCAAAACTGCAATCCCTACAAATACATCCAAATCGAAGACAGCTACGCCACCCGCGAAAAAGAAAATTACACAAACAACGCTCGTTTCTTCGGACTGGGCCAAGAAGTCATCTGCAAATCATGGTCGGAGGCCGAAACCGCAAACGCCGGCAAATGGAAACATTATGGCCTTCTTCAAGAAGGCAGAAGATATCAACAATCGCATATTCCTCCAGGAACGTGGAAGCAATACGACCGTTGTGTTGGACGGGACAGAAGAGGATGTTGGCTGGAGCGATGATACTGATACTGGGCATTACATGGGTACCCCAGACAGTGGCGAGGAGCGATACAATGAGAATGGTGGCAGCCACAAGAAAAGGAAGACATATGAAGAACCTGTAACAACAGTATTGGCACAGTCCCCGCCTCTTCCACTGCCCGATGAGAGTGTTCCCTCGGACGGGTCAAAGGCTGTGGAGGTGCCTAAGCAAGCACCCAAAGCACGCAAGAAATCTGGACCCTTTATAGACGACTCTGACTCCGACTCCGACGCCTCTGAAGTCGAAGAATCAGTTGAGCAAATGCAAAATGTATTGGTCAGCATCAAATGTGAGGACGCACCCGAAAGCACAAGCCCTGGTAACGCAAACATCGACGTCGCTGGAACACCCATTGTTCATGTACCTCCACTGTTGAAGTCTGAGGGTACATCGCAATTTGGCGATGAAGACTTTGACGAATTTCAAGACCTTGAAGACGATGACTCACTTGAAGGCGAAGAATATGACGAGCGGCGTTGGATGAAGGCGCAAAGAGAACTGGAGATGCAGGAAGCTGGGTTTGAAGGTGATCCCGACAAGTTTGATGCGCCGCAATTGTTCCCTGACTCTGGAACCGATGTGGTCATGCTCAAAGAGCCAGCTCAAGATGCCGGCGATGCGCCCTCCTGCCCCATCTGTAGCAGCACCCTTTCCGGTCTTGCTGAGCGAGAGATATCCCAACATGTCAACGCTTGCTTGGATGGAAGTCCTCTACCGAAAACTCAAGCCAAGAATGAACGAGAGACAACCCCCACCACTACCAGTAAAGCCTTTAAACGGCCGATCCGGCCCGCTAAGCCGGCGCAGACAAATCCATTTCAGATCTCAACACTCAGCTCCGAGCCCAAGTCGGCGTTTTCGAAGTTGATGGCTGGTCATGCGGAAGATGCTGCTTGGGCAACTGCCGCTGCTGAGAACAACGCATCGCGAGGGAAGCCAGCCTTTCAGCGCACCTGCCCTTTCTATAAGATCATGCCTGGATTCTTCATCGCCGTTGATGCATTCCGTTATGGAGCAGTGAAGGGTCAGAACGCATATTTTCTGAGCCATTTCCACAGTGATCACTACATTGGGCTCACGTCTTCATGGGCTCACGGCCCCATCTACTGCAGCAAAGTCACTGGAAATCTTGTTCGACAGCAACTCCGTGTTGACCCAAAATGGGTCGTCGATCTCGACTTCGAGAAGAAGACAGAGGTACCCGGCACACAAGGCGTACATGTCACGATGATATCAGCAAATCATTGCCCGGGCAGTTCATTGTTCCTTTTTGAAAAGGAAACGGGACAAGGAAAGATGATGAAGCTTCAACGCGTGCTACATTGCGGTGACTTCCGCGCTTGCCAGGCACATATTGAACACCCACTGCTCAGACCTGACGTACTAGACGCGGTCAGTGGCAAAAATCGAAAGCAAAAGCTGGATGCTTGTTACCTTGACACGACCTATCTCAATCCCAAGTACGCTTTTCCACCACAGCAGCAGGTTATACAGGCTTGCGCAGACATGTGTGTCAGTCTCAACAAGGTAAATGCAGACGAATCAGACGGATGGGAGCAAATGAAGCGAGAGCGAGCTGGTCAAGGCATGGTCAAATTTGTGCGCAAAGACTCCAACATAAGAAACCCAGACGAGCCCAAAAGTCCCCAAAGAGGCCGTCTCCTCGTCATCGTAGGCACCTACAGCATTGGGAAAGAGCGAATATGCACTGGTATTGCCAAAGCTCTGAAGAGCAAGATCTACGCTCCTCCCAACAAACAACGAATCTGCAAGGCCCTCGAAGATCCGGAACTCGATGCCCTCCTAACAACAGATCCAAGAGATGCGCAGGTGCACATGACACCTCTTTTTGAGATCCGTGCCGAGACCCTTGACGACTATCTGCGTGACTATGCCGACACCTTCTCCCGCGCCGTCGGTTTTCGGCCCTCTGGCTGGAACTACCGCCCACCAAACAGTCGATTCACTGAATCCCCTGCCGTGCAAACAGTCCTGCACTCGCAGAATTGGAAAAGCAGCTTCTCTATGAAGGACCTTGCGCCACAACGAGGCAGCACCAGCCGTGCAAGCTGCTTTGGTGTGCCCTATAGTGAACACAGTAGTTTCAGGGAGCTTTCCATGTTTTGTTGTGCGCTTAGGATTGACAAAATCATTCCTACAGTCAATGTGGGGAGTGCGAAGAGTAGGGAAAAGATGAAGGCTTGGTGTGAGAGGTGGGCTGTGGACAAGAAGAAGAACGGGCTGTTCAAGCTGGGGAAAGATGGGGAAGGGTGGGTGTAGTGCATACTCAGATACATTAGCCAATTTCAGATGACCGTGCTAACGGAAACACCATATCTGGATCCCACTTTGGCTCAACTTCAACTCAAGCAGTGCTTTTTTCTTGCTATTTTAACGAAACATGGCTCGGATATACTATGTATCTCGTTCATTCTAGTATTCCCACTCTCCTCTTGGCCTGCACGAATACCTTCCGAGTCTCCCATTAGTCAGGTGTCCTGCCTTTGTATGTACTGTATCTTTTACCCTTTCTTTATTGACTGTGAGTTACTGCTTCTGCTTCGAGTCAAGCCATGTCAAGGTTGACCGCCAAACCTGTGCGATCGTTGCCCCCACCATTCGATACAAGGTGGGCTGATGATGCACCACGGTAGAGGCGACTGGACCCTGCCCTGACAATGAAAGATATCAATCCAGCAGAAAAAGTCTCGAGCAATACGAGTCGGCTCAGGTTGATTGAATCATGATAGACTACGCGGATGACTCGCATTTACACAGTATGCATAACGAAGCTGGGGTGAATATTCCGTGGCAATGGCCTCAAGAACGCAGGAACGGCTCGGAGACGATGTCCGGGAGGAGGGCACGCATACCACAACTCGATCTTTGTCTGGCAATGTGTACTGCCAGGGTAGGCGACGGGTGAAATGCGATGTGATGACATACCCTCTCATCCTCGACGAATCATTCACGCCGATAAGTGTTGGACACAATCGCATCCAGCTTCATCCTTTGTCCGCCTATATTAACCCACATCCCTGATACGGCAGCCAGGCGACACAGGTGCCCAACACAAAACATCCCACGCCCTGGCAGCGCAGCATTCGCCATACCTACCCCATTGCTTTGTAACCCTTAAATAAACGCAGCGCACCCCGAGGCACCCAGTAAAAGCGTACATGTACTGTTATACCGTTACATGCACTTGCCACCCCTACCTTCGCCATGGTACCCTCCCTCCCGCCCCCAATACTCTATTCACACGCAGGCCATCCGCCCTCGTCCCAACGTTCGGAACCCTCTTTCCGACCTGTCGTCGGAACCGCTTCCCCACAAGGATTTGCCATGCACGGAGTCCCGTCCGAGCTCGTATTTTATTCTTTTCACATGCTTCTCACGCTGGCTTGCTATCCCTTGATCGTTTGTTTCGCGTACGGTACCTCGGGATCGGGTAGGGGGGGAAATCCAAGGTTGTGGTCGACCTTGATGGTCGCTACTAGATATTACACCGAGCCGCTGTGCCCCGGGTAAACTTGACTCCTTTTCCTACAGTAGAGGTATGCGTAGGCGGATGAGACGGGGAAAGGGGAGGGGGCGTTGCATTGTGACGGGTGGTTTGCTCGTGCTCACACGAGCTGAGTGTCATTGCTGAGCTTGGAGGTGTTCGCAAGCCCGCCGTTGGTTGGGACACGGGTTGGCGAACGAGTTGATGAACAAAGTAGGATCTTGGCCATGCCACCTAACACGATGGGGTGTGGCTATCTGGCCTACTCTTACATGCTAGGGTGCGGAAAGTTCACCTTTGGGTACAGCGATAACCTGGACATGGCGTAGGCTGGGACTCGTTGGAGTAACGGTGCATTGGGGAGCAGATGGGGTATGCAGGGTCGGGATTGGCTTACGCAGCAGAGAAGAGGACAAGTCTTTTGGATGCGTGTTTCATGGCCATCGACTTGTTGGTCGGTCAAATAGCCATTTCCCATTGCTTAGAACATCATGGAGTAAGCAATGACATCGTTGTGATCGACATCACAGATTCTTAGCCCGGGTCGACGGATGCGCGAGCACAATATTGTCAGCGTCTGGCCTGGGTACTCTACGTTGATGCCCACGAGCCTGTTTCGTGAGTTAGGCAAACAGTCGATCTCTTTACACTTTTCAGGCTCGCAATGGTCCGAGTTTTATTGCTTGGTAATAATTATAGATGGTCAACAAGCATTATTTTTACACAGTGTTGTTGGCTATCTATGGCTATTTACACGCGCGTCCAATATTTACTCTGCTGTGGTATACACACAACCCGCTCAAATGGCAGTCAGTTTTCTTCGGCCCGAGTATGCCACTTGATGGACTACGAAGGCGCAATTGGTACATCGCCATGTAACGGAGCCTGTTTTTTTTTCTTCAAAAGCCCGTGTACTTCCGGGAATCCTGGGTGCGGTTGATAGACTGCAGTCATATGATGAGGCTGCGCAATCAAGTCTCTGTATGGCGTATTTTGAAACCCGTACAGAACATTACAGAGGTTCGCAGGATCCCTGTCTGTCACAAATGCAGTCTGGTGAGATGCAAGCGTGCCGTCGCATTTCATGGCCGGAAGCGAAGCAGGTCTAAAAAGTTCATCGGCTAGATTTGTCGCTAGGCGTTAATCGATTATCAAGGATGATCGTCAGGACTCTGCGCGATACGAGTCGGAGGCGGCCGCTCCCTTGTCATCACGAGCAAATGACATTTTGACCGAATAGGAAGGTCCTCCGGTATATCATAACCTGCAATTAATTTTGCAGACCACTGTGCGGAGTAGTTGGCTAGATGTCAATTCTAAGTTTTGAGCGTGCTGCATGGTTTCGCTAGTTTGGCTGGAAATGGCCCTCTTGCCACACTCTTGTACAATCGAGTCTTGTGCGTAGTTCGTTGCTGCGCGCCATGCACTCGTGGATCCTTCATATACCATCAAATGCGAGACGATGATCATCTCGTTGTGCTTGAGGAAATTGGGTTGCGTCATCCAAAGCTGCAACAAGCAGGGAACGCCTGTAGTAGCGAACATTGAGTTTGTTCCAATATGTGATCCGATGCGTCACGCAGCGCCAATCGTCCCACGAACATGCATTGCTGTGCGTGCGAAATGCATAAATGCTCTTGGGAGCACAATTCTCAACCGCATTGTAGCAGTTACCCGACATTCCAGTGACGTGATACTGCCAGGAATACAGGGGCCTGGTCAACGCTTTTGCCTTTGTCGCCGATGCATCGTAAAGTAAGAGCGCCACAACTGCAGAATTCCCCAGCCAATCGCCGAAGGTTCGTCAAATGAGATGCTCCATCATACAAGACCTCAAGCCACACCAAGCTTCTCGTGATCCTCCGGATCCTTGTTGTGGTTCAGGACTGTCGGAATATTCGAGGCTCAACGAGCTCGTTTGTACATGGACTGGTCGGCCATTGGGGAGTTTCCTTGATCCCATCTGCGTTTGAGACCATCTCCAAACGAGCTAGCCACGACTTCCTGCCACATTGTAGGCGTGACATAGGAAGCATTGGGTGTGGCATAGGTCGATGATGGCGGCATTTGACCTGAAGTTCCATGCATATTGTTCGATTGAGGAGACGCATTTGGTAATTGATAGCCAGATTGAGAGGCATCCTGAGACACCCGTAGATCGTAGTTGCCTGAAGGAGGGGGTCTTAGCGGCGGGGAGGACTGTGAAGACGCGCTGGTGGGGGGTGGCGTACCAAATGCTACATTCCATTGTCTTCCGAGCGTCAGTGAAATGGCAATACAACGATCCGACACCTGACTTACTCAAAGATACGCTGGGGGTTCCATTGCACATTGTCTGGCATTTGCATAACAGAGGCCGACTGGGGTGCGCGTTGACCAGATGCCATCATGACCAGAGACTGGGCTACGGGAGAGTCAGTCTTCGATTCGTGGCCGGATGCCGAAATCGGTGGAGTTATGGGATGGGCATGGTAGTTGATCTGACCTGGTTGTTCCAGCGGCGAGGGATGACTTGGGTGACGAGGGCGATAGGAGCCATGGTTGCTTAGCGGACTTGACTGAGGAGCGACCTGTGGGCTTCCAAATGGGAATGTCGGCTTCAATTCGAATGGCTTTGACACATCGGCAGAAAAGGCTTGACGAAGATTGTTGACTTGCTGTTGCATCTCAGGCATGGGGAAGGAAGGGGTGCATGTTTCCAAGATGCGCATATGGCGTACAAAGAAGTCCCTTGCTTCGTCGTTGATGTCTGGATCAGGACACGTTATAGCAACCTAGATTGTCAGTCTTTATCAATGCAGTTTGCTGTGTGGATTGGACATACCAGGTGCAACATGGTGCATGTCAAAATGGCATATATGTGAAAGCTGATGCCCCTCACCATACACAGCAGGCCGGGCATTCCGTACGTCTTTAAAATGGCTTCCTGTAGCTTGCAAAGGTTCTTGGCGGCCGAGTAGCAGGTAAGCATATGTTGTTTCCATATACCGTCATAAGAGTCTGAAACGGCATGAAGCTGCGGGCGGAAGTGCATGACTATGGCCAGGCAGTGATAACTGTGCAAGTTGGCGATTTGATGAGATGGTATCCAGGGCGCACTGCCATCCTGGGGATACACAATCTGCATGTCTTCTGGAACTTCTCGTAGCCAGAGCGAGAAGTCTGCATTGTGGGCCACAAAAGCAGGATCCAATGCCCAATCCGCCGTCTTCTTCCTCAATTTCCCAAACAACAACGCCGAACCGTAGACGTTCCTAGCAACGCGGGTGTATTGAACGAACTGGCGCGCGATTTGGAATTCGTCAGGGTCTTGTCCTGCAATCGGTCTCGGCATCTCGAGATCCACTGTCTCTGGATCAACCCCAAAGTCATATCGTCCTATACCAACGTGAGTGCAGATCCCTCGACAAACGAAATCACAACGTACCTTGAGGGCCTCCAATCATGGCCTCGAAGATCAAACACATTTGCCAGACCCTCGTCTTAGCTACGCAATCGTGTGCGGTGGAACCACAGTCCTTGCCCATTCGGTGGGTATCGTAGTGCTCGTGCAGTTCTAGATCCTTTGCCATGGCAACAAGACTGACAGTGGCCATCCAGGAGCGCCAGAAATAGCCTCGTTTCGGAGAGGCCTCGCGGGCTTTGAGGAGGAGGACCATTGCCTGCATCGTGCTTAAACGCGACACGTCTTTGAAACTTTCCTCGTGCTCTGAACTGGGTTAGTCAAAACAGTACATGCAGATAGATTCTAAGTCAAAGGTACTGACTTGTCGCCAACGCCAGCCACTTGCTCCCTTCTTCTACGTGGCCCAACATCAATGTAGAGCAAGCGAACATGGCTTCGAGCATGAGTGGCGATATAGAATCACGCGCATTCTGCCATTGTTGGTAGAAATAGGCCTTGTTGACGACGGGACAATAAGGGTGAATGTTGGTGAAGAAGTAGTCGAAATAGTGCAATGCGCGGTCTTCCGACGGCATCATCTCTGGAGGGATGCGGACGGTCTGGTCCATGTTGACGGAAGGCGGCAACTGCACCTCAAACTCCTCTTGCGCTGGCGTCTCAGCCAGTGCCTTCTTCATATTTGTAATGTACGGCGCTGTATGTGGGGTTAGTGGCACTCGTCTCGCCGATTGCGCAGATACTCACCGATGGCTGTGTGATCGATTTTGAGTTCACCGAGAGCATCGGATAGACTGGACACGGAATCGTTACGCCAATTCGGCTCGGATTCTGGTGGTGTCATGGTCATGGCAGGGGGAGGCGCTGATGACTGAGCATACGCCTGTTGCGGGGCATAGCTCATACTCTGCGGCACGACTTGGGGTTGCGACATGGACTGGTAGTGGACTGGTTCCTGTGGTTGGTGATCCCCGTATGGCGACGAATGGTACATGCCCTGTGCGGGTGAAGGCAGAGAGGATGTCATTTGGTGAGGCATTCCATGGGGCACGACGGCATGGCGCTGATAATCGTGCTGAGACTGCTCCTCTGGCGCGTACTCGAGAGGCTTGGGTTCCAGTTCAAAGGTTTGCGAGCCATTGAAATCATTGTCGTAGCTGTGGTTTTCTCCGGTATACCGTGGGTGGGCCTAGTT